CCCCCCCCCCCCAAAAAAAAAAAAACAAAACAAAACAGACGTACCCTGATCATGAATGCATACGACCTACTTTTCTGGTCGGATACGACCATGATGATGGTGCGTTGTACTCGGGGGAAGGCGCGACTCTATTCCAGGCCAAGCCTCAGATCCAGTGCCATGTAAATTTGTTCTGGGGCCAAGTCCCACTAGCAGCGTTGGCTTCCTTCAACGCCCGAATGAGGACGTGTTTGGGGAGAGGTGCAGGACCTCGAGTCGAGTTTCCTCATCCGCACATCTCCTCAAACACGTCCTCATTCGGCCGTTCAGGAAAAAACTCAACGCTGCTGGTAGGACTGGCCCCCCTGGGGCGTGGTCCCACTAGCAAAGAGGATTGGATCGATTGCCTGAATCTGGACGAGATTATGGAGATGTGCAGGAAATCGAGATTGAACTTCTTTTCTGCATCTCTGCATAAAACACTTCCAGATTCTTCTGATAGAAACATCCCACTCTTCACCCGCCCCAGCCGAACCGTCCTAGACACTGGGCCTCGCTCCACTACTACTCTCGACATGCATAAAAGACAAAAATCTTGGCCGTGTATCTTTCCATGTTCTTGCAGACGATTCACTCTCGTTGAGATAGTGGAGCGAGGCCCATTCTCCCGGCTCATTCAAGAGAAGAATGCCAAAAAAAAACAGAAAAAAAACAGACGCTCCACTAGCGAATCTTCCCTTAGAACAGCCAAAAAAAAAAGTGGTCGTGAGTTTTGTTGTCCCTGGTGCTACAAAAATCTTGGCGGGGTATCTTTCCATGTTCTTGCGAAAGATTCACTCTCGTTCTGCAAACCCCCCCTTTACCCAAAAGCGCGGACGCCGACCAAGCTGGTTGCCTCAACGACCTCCCCAACCCAAGACCGGTCGTTGAGCCTCCGAGCTCTGGGACGACCGACCGATAGGCCTACCGGTCGTTTTAACGTTGCCGACCGCACCCTTCCAGCACCCCTGTTCACGCCCTGTAGACCCCGGTTGAAGGTCGTCGACTTTCCCGAAAGGGAAAGTTTTTGCTAAACGACAAAAGGCGACAGGGTAAAGCGCAGCCTAATGGCTGCGAACTCGCCCGCGCCGGCCGTTCCCCCGTATACAGATGGAATTTTCCTAAAAAGAAAAAAGAAGGTACCGGGCAAGTTTTTCATCTGCGAACCTGAACAGGCCATTCACGGCCTACGACCGCTTTCCGACGGAAAACTCCTGGTGTGTGTATGCCCTTACGTACTTCTGTCCGGAGAAAGGAGGCGAACCCTATCCGGTTGCCGATTTGCATGTTTTTCAGCCGCGTCCCGTGGCCCGCGCAAGAAACGCCTGTCGCCGGCCAGCCTATGGCGTGTTGTCGGCCACCTAGCACAAGAAACGCCTGGCGCCGGCTCCAGCCTATGGCGTCCAGCAGCTTGGCACCCGGTCCGGGCATCTAGGGCCCAAGCGTGGCAGAGCCGGCGCGCGTGGCCGATGTTTCACGCTTGGGTTAGCATCCCGTTGATCGTGTTCCTCATTTCCTGCCGACTGCTGTTCGCAAGGGGTGATTTCGCCCGCCAGCCCTTCCGTCCCACCGCTCGTGCGCCCGGCCGCCCATCCGCCCGTGCGTCCGCCCGCCCCCCCGACCGCCTGCAAGTGGAGAGGGGTTCGTTTAGCTTTCAGGCGGCGCCTGCCACGTGTGCGCGGTTGGTCGGAAATGACAGCCGCCATGGCCATGTCGTCCTCACTCTCGTCGTTGCGCATTAGTGCGGGCGCTTCTGCCGTGGCTTCTACATGCTCGTCGCCTCAGACGGCTTCTGGGGGCAATGCCGACAATGCGGCAGCGTTGGCCAATCCGTCTCCGAGGTGTAATTTATCCTCATCCTTATCCTGTTGTAAAGGGAGCGTTTTCGCTGGCAAGAGGAAAGGTCTGGAAGCCGGGATCGTCCGTGCGGAGCGCAGGGTCCAGGTCCAGGGGTTGTCCGTCAGGTGCCAGGGACGATTCATCCCAGCGGAATGGCGCCATCTCTACGAGGGAGTGGAGAAACTAGGCCCGGTACGTCACTCACAATTCTCTGTCACAATCAATCGCCGGGCCAGATTGCCGTCTGGCGCTCACATTGCACGCGCAGGCATGCGTTAGTGCTGCATCTTGGGCACCAGCGCTTTGACATCCAATGCGGCAAAGCAATCGCCATGCCTCTGATCTGTCTTCCCGCGAATAGAACGTACGGTCGTTATATCTGTATTTGGGGTTACTTCCAGTCTAGAAACGGCGGTAATGACCGAACGATGTAGTCGGGGGAAACAGAGGGGTGGTGGCTCGGCCGGTCGGATTTTGCGATCTCTAGTGCTCCATCCCACGACCATTATCGCCCTCCGGTCCCTCCCTCTCTCTCTCTCTCTCACCTCTCCTCTCCAAAGAAACGCCTTTTGTTTTCTCGAAAAAAAACAAAGAGGAAGAAGGAGGTCAAATAAATGTGTGTGCAGCTTTATTCGGGGTTTTACTTCAGGCTTGTTCTCTCCTGTTTCTTTTTTCTTTTTTCTTGGAAAGCTCCTGTTTCTTCTTAGACTCGTGCAAATGTGAACAGCAAAATCCGAAGAACAGAAAAATAATCCACTTGTTAATCCTGCGAAACCTCAGCCAAGGGAACGGGCACGGACGAATCGGCGGGGAAAGAAGACCCTGTTGAGCTTGACTCTAGTTCGACACTGTGAAATGACTGGAGAGGTGTAGAATAAGTATATACATAAAAAAAAAGAAAAATTGGAATGCGTCACGACAGGTTAGGCAATGGCGGCAATGCTCGAAGAACGACCATGTCAAAATGAAATGCTCTCTCATACCGTCATGCGTTTGCCCCATACATACATACGTAATTAGCTCGTACTCACCGCGAGCGAGCTTCGTCTTCCCGTAATGCCGTGCCACCCAGCGGATGACCAACCGTGTGATCATCGTCATCTATCGGTCACCGTCATCCAGCAGTCATCATCATCTAACGGCCAACGTCATCTGCAGTCTTGTCGAGGCGACTGTCGCGGTCATCACCGGCGCGTGGACCTAGTAGTCCCCGGTTCGGGCTACCGTCTTCACACGAGTAGAACGCCGGTCATTACACATGTATTTGGGGCAACATTCAGTCTGGATGACGGGGCATTCTATTCGGGTGAAGACGATAGGGGCCTCGCCGTACCATCATGGAATGTGAAAAGGACCAAAACTATGGCCGGTGTGTCTTCCGACGTTCTAGCGGGAAAGATGATCTCCGCTTTGCATATTTGGTGAGTAGTGCGGTGACGCCCTAAGTAGCTTCGATTGACGGTCTGCTCTGGGCATCCTCACCTGACTCATCTCACACGTCTATCCTTCCTCCAAAAATACTTCGTAATGCTCTTACTGGAAACATATATACGGTAATACCGTATATATATATGTATATATCGTATATTATATTTTAGTATATTACTATATAATACAACGGTACTGTATTGTATTACTTATTGGGAAAAAGCATGCAAATGGATATGATGAAAAAGCAATCGACTGGCGACGCCAACGAGGCAACTAACAGTTGTGTACTCTCTGTCGTGCAACCACCGTCACGGCCACTTTGGACATCATAGCGGGTGGTCCTAAACTTCCCCTCCCCCCCCTCCCCGTCTCCCCCCCTTTCCTCCCCGGAACTGCGCTGGCTGCTGGATGTGCTTCAGAGCGCAGATTACAGTCACATTCATTCGCAAACGTGCTGGGCTCACTTTGGGCTGAGCAGGCGCGCCTAAGGGCAGATGTGCAATATCGCAGCCGTCGACATCGGTAGCCTCGCCCCACTGCTCTCGAAATGTGCAAAAGGAGAGTGAATCTTCCGCTAGAACATGGAAAGATACACCGCCATGATTTTTGTCGTTTGTGCATGTCGAGAATAGTGGAGCGAGGCCCGATCTGATGTGGCCAGAATCCACAAACTCCTCCTAGACCATGGAGGTGAAAATAGAGAAATACTCTGGGAGAAAAATAAATAAATCCCGGGAGAGAACAAAAGAGAAATATTCCGGGAATTAGTGCCCGCTACTTCATCGCCGGTGGTGTTCACAGGTCTTGGTTACCCTCTGCAAGATCTCCACATTCTTCCTCCTCTTCCCCCATTGCTCCCGCTCTGCTCTCTCTCTTCCTCTCTCCCTTCCTCTCTTTTTCTCTCTTGCTCTCTCGCGCCCTCGCCCTCTCTCTACTCCTCCGTGCTTGGTTATCGAAACGACAGCCTGCCAGCTGTCTCTGGTTCTCGAGGTTGAGAATGGCGATGGCGAAGACGATGCACATCGACAGCTGGTGTTTGGATTCGGTTCTTGCGGTCTGTTGCTCTCCCTTCTCCATCTTCCGTTCTTCTCTCCCTATTAACTCTGCAGCTCTTCGTTCTGTCCTCTTCTTTTCTTATTGTCTCCGTTCTATTATCTAATCTCCTTTCCCCCCTTCTGGCTCTCTTGTCTACTAGTACTCTTTTATGCGGTCCATTCATTCCCCTCTGCTCTCCCTTCTTCTCCTCTGCTTCCTCCTCCTGTCTCCCTCTCAAATTTCCCTTCGGCTCTCCCATTTACGACATATGGCGTTTGGTTTGGTTTCGTTTCGTTTTGTCTCCTGGGCGGCTAGATTGTGCGCGTTGCGTTACGCTCCTCTACCTGTAGTGGTGATGTCAGTGGCAGCGGCCTTTGCGTGGCGAAGACGTCAACATCTATTTGTCTGTCTTTCCTCTCTTTCCTGTTGGGCTTTCTCTTCTCTCTGTTTCATGGCCATCCTCTCCCCCCCTCTCCTCCACCCCGAACCACCTTGTTTGTCTTCTTCTTCTCGTCTGCTCTCGGTTCTCTCCGATCCCCCGCTGCTTCTGTCTGCCTTCTCACTCATCCTGACCTGCCCTGCTATTGTCATATTGGTGCTTGTTCACCCTGTTATTCGATTCTGCTGCTATTCTTTCTGCCTTCATTTTCTTCTCGTTTACTGTCAGTGTCCATTCCCGTTCTTCATTGGTCTCTCTCTCTCTCTCGCTCTTTATCTTTCTATCTCTTGCTTCCCTCCACTACTCTTCTGCTTATCACATTCCTCCTCCTCCTCTTTGGCCCCTCCTTTGGCAAGATACTAGACAATGAAAGGGAGCCTCAGTTGCAATTGTCCGGAGAATTGGCAGATACGATCCGCCGGACGGACGATAGGGTTCCACCCCTTGGTCGTTCTTTCTCCAATAGCTGCTTCCTTTCCTTGCTGCTGCTAGAGCCAAACGAAACGCACTGCTAGGTCCCAGGCATTCTGCAAGCTTGCAATCACTCTATATTCTCATCCTTTTCCTGCTGATAACTAGCGGTGGTACCTGCAACCAGCCGTGGCACAGTGTGGGACATTTTGGTATAGTGTGGGACAATGTGGGACAGTGTGGGACCGTGCTCGCGTTCCCGCGAAGTACATTCTGACCGTATCACTGCCAAACGAATTTTTGTTGTTTTGCGTCGGACCCTCCGCCTATACTATGCCAAGCACAGTCGTATCGGCAGTGGGAATGGCTACCTACCTACCTACCTTTAGGGCCTGGGTTCACGGCAAGCCACAGTTGAGTACTCCTACTGTCTTCCCCCTGATATCACCTCCAGGGGCCTAGAAACTATTTATGTACCTCCTGGCCCCTACTGTCTTGCCCCTGAGCGTAGGGCCTCACTTTAACACTACCCACCCACGACGCTCCATTTGGGACCACGTAGGTTCCTCCTGTGCTCCACTAAACGACGCACGTCCCTCCCTACCAGTAGTAGTCCTATCTATGGTCCCACTTGACTAAATAACATAGCATAACCTAACATCGGCCGCAAATCTCAAGAGACCTACGTGGATTGATGATGCAGGTGCAGAGGACACTACCTGCAGGTTCGCTGCAGGTGCATAAGGTTCTTGAGACATTCATCGGTTAGATTGGACTTACGGACCCAACCTCCGTCTTGCCGCATGATTCCACATGGTTGCACAAATCGTGCAGGTAGCTCAGTCTGTCCAACCAGGTTTTTGTGCTTGTTTCGGCTCGTTGGTCTAAATCGAACATGCTTTCGTTGGTTTTGTCATGTCAAATCCACCCACATATGCTTGCTTCGTACTCGTTCACTCGCTCTCGAATGTCCATCCATCCATCCATCCATCCATCCATCCATCCATCCATAGCAGTAGTTACTTTAGAGGGCGTGTCAGAAAGGGGCCTTACGGACTGCTGTTTCTGGACTGAAAGCTGACCAAAATACAGCTACATTTGATAGTGCGTTGGTAGAGCGGCAAACCAGCGGGTGTGATGTAGGAAACACAGGACAATCACGGAGGTGCAGTGGGACATCTGCAGTGTGGCATGACCCGAAGGTCGGTGTCTCGAATGCAGGGGGTTCCCAAGGCTCAGATGATGTTCCCTATATAAATGAGTAACTGAACTACTGCATAAGGGATGGAAGCCACCAAGACCTGTGGATGGTCTAAATCCGGATCAGGTTCAAAAATCCACCCGACGCAAAAAGTCACTGAGACCATTAGGCATGCTCAGTTCACAGTTCAAAATGAGAGAGCATGCTAACAAGCATTGCAGACCTTCACAATTCACATTGAGCCATTTAGTGTGGGCGAGCATGCTCAGTTCACAGTTTAAAATGAGAGAGCATGCTAACAAGGGATTTGTGCCTGAAAATAAATTTCAAAGAAATTGTTACCGCGTACAGAGGACAATGGGGAGTTTTATATATCAAGGGAGATGCTGATGACACGTCAAATAGACGTCTCTGCGCACATTGCCACTTATCCAGTCTTGCATGTGTCAAAGCTGTTATAACTCAGGACAATCCTTCCTTGTGCCTGAAGAAGAACTTTCTCAGAAATTGCTACCTTAGTACAGAGGACAATGGGGAGTCCTAGATATCAATAGAGACGCCAATGGCACGTCCTATAGATGGCCCTCGACACATTTGCACTTATCCAGTCTTCTATGCTTCAAAGTTGTTGCCTGTTAACCCAGGACCATCCTTCCCTTCAAAGCATTGCAGACC